CAACAACCCTTTCGTCTGAGATCGAAACCGGGTCAAACACTTGGTCGATCTTATCTTTCGACTACAGCTATCAATCAGGAATAAGTCAGCAAATGTAGTGTGCAGCATAGGATATTGATGTAATATGCAGTAGTGGGAATCTGAGAAGCCACTCGTCAATACTTAACCCTTTGAATATTAAAGTCACATATATGGCCCACTAAAAGTTTAAACATTACTGCTGGGTCGAAGATTGCTAAGAATCTCCTGAATGTTGGGGATCATCTTCTAATAGCTGGAAAATCAAGATCCCTCTGTGCTCTTTGTACACAAAAGAACATAGAGGAAAGGACAAATATGTGTTGCCCAATGTGTAATGTTGGGTTATGGAAGGAATGTTTTACCCTCTACCATACGATGCAAAAGTCTATTTCATATAATAAAGTTTTCCAGAATAATGCGACTGCATATATGTAAGTCGACCGCTACGGGTGAGACATATGTATCTCACCATTAACTACGGCTGGGACATATGCGTCCCAGCCTTTGCCTTGAAAACTGTTTTGGAAAAATTTCCAAATGCTAAATTTACCTTATTTATGATATAATTTGTTCACTTAGATAGAAAATGCGATAAGTTTTTTTAATTCGTATTCACAGGGTTGGTTGGAACCTAAAGATGCATATAAAATGAGATAACATAGAATTCTACAAATATTAATGAGAAATGAATTTTACTAATGTCATTGACATTAAAAATATACAAAAAATGCACATATGGGCATCAAATTTAATTTCTTGAATCTTTCTGCAATTGCAGTGAGTTATCAGAGTTAATTTTATGAATCCTTTGATTCGTGAAAACATTGTAACAGCCTAGAAGAACTCCACTTCAAATCCGAAGTTTCGGATCACCATGTACACTCATGTCCATAAATTAAGGATAATGCAAAATCAGACAAAGGAAGAGTGAGTTAGAAGCAAAACAAATTTGATTTATTTGTAAAGCTTATTTATTAAACAAAAAGGTAAAGAGCAAAAAAAGATGCTATATGTTTGGTATTATTAAAAATATTAGCGATTTTTTCTCCCTGAAGCAAATTACAAAAAAATACCTACTTACAAAAAAAAAAAAAAAAAAACAATATTACATGGTTGGTATGATTGTTAATACATTGTATGTCTCCCAGACGATGCAATACAGTCCATACAACGCCTAGGCATGCTGAGTATCAAATTATCGATCTGATCTTGGGGGATATTACACCACTTAAAAAGCAATGCTCTCCGAAGTTCCGGTAGACAATGTAGGAGGAGGTTGACGGGCTGCAACTCGTCGGCCAAGCATGTCCCACACGTGCTCTACTGGATTCAAGTCCGTTGAGAATTCTGGCCAGTCCATACGGGTGATTGAAGGCATTCGCTTACAATGTTCGCTCGGTGAGGACGGGCGTTGTCATCTATAAACACAAATTGTGCGCCCATGGCCCCCCAAACAAATGTACATGTTGTTCCAGAATGACGTCCCGATAAATTTGGCTTGTCATGGTTCCAATTTGAACATGGAGGTCAGTTCTGGAACCCAAAATAATTCCACCCCAAACGAGCACTCCTGCACCACCGTAACGGTGTCGTTCAATGATGTTTTCTTGGTGGTAACGGGTACCTTGAGCTCTCCATATGAAAGTCCGGCGAGAATCAGACTGCCAGCTAAACCTGAACTCGTTGGAAAACATCACGCAAGCCCATTGTTGCGGTGTCCAAAATGCATGCTCTCTACTCCAGGCTAACCGCAGGCGACAGTGAGTTGCAGTAAGTGGAAAGCATCTGACAGGTCTACGAGCATATAGACCAATCTGCCCTAAGCGTCTGTACACGGTCTGCCTTGAAATTGTCGTACCAGTGGCTGAATACAGCTGACGAGACAGGTCTGAGGCTGTGCTCCGTCTGTTTCTTTTGGCAGTAACTGCCAAATACCAGTCCTCATTCGGCGTTGTAACTCTGGGGCGGCCTGTGCTGTAACGTCTACTCACATTACCATCATCTTGGAAACGTTGCCAAGCCTGGAGATAACACTCTGGGCAATTCCAAGTTCGTCTGATACTTCCAGTTGGGTATGCCGACATACCAGACGGTCGATAATTCTACCACGTAAAAAATCATCCAAATGCGTCCTTTGTGCCATAACTATTCGGTTATTGCACTGAAATGCTTATAAAGCGCCTGCGAACAATTTTACTTCTTTGCCTGTATTCCTTACATATCACTCTCTTACACTCTCGTCATTGTGAAGTGCCATCGGTGTCATCTAGTTACTTCCTGAAATTTGCATATGATTCTTGAAGATGTGTGTAGTGATTTTACAGGTGATATATTTATTTTAGAGTTCGATTTCCGCGTGACTCCGAATTATCCTTAATTTATGGACATGAGTGTAAATTAAAACGTCCTCTTCCAAGGATATTTTCGAGTTTCGCATTTGTTAATTGCTTGTGTTACAATGCATGGTTACTCTGTTTTATCACTAAACAGTATATATATTTTACTGTTTTTGTTTAGCGTATAAGTTAAGTTATGCCACAGACTTATGGCTTTCGATGTAAACGAGTTTAACATGTACTTATCTCAGTAAAAGTAATGATAGTAGGAACTAAATTATTACTAGAAATTTCTACCTTTTGGCATATATTCCATGTAGCTAAACAGCTATAAGAATGATAACATAGCAGGCAAAATGAGTTGTAATGCATGTATTATCCTTGTAAACAAATAATTTTCCTGAGTTTAAGCCATGCAATTTTTCTTTTTGTTAAAACTAGTGCTGTGTAAATTGTTAGCTAATTTAAATTGGAATTTGATTTTTGTAACTGGTTAGCTTTTAATTTAAAATGGTATTAGTTTGTTCTTTGAATTTATTGGTCGGTTTCAATTTTTTTTTTTTTACTAAGAATTTTATTGCTATCAGATGTAATTGTTTTTACTTAAACTGGTAACTGATAATGATTAATCTTTTAATAACTTTCAAAGAGAAAAGCGTGTTATATTGATTTTATTTTGAAAACTTAAATCTTAATTTAAACTTTGTTAGGCCTTTATTCTTTTGATTTAATTGATGTTTGATTGGTTTGGTAAAACGACATTAGTACTCTTAATGATTACCAAATTTAAATTTTGATTTTTAGGTAGGCTTAATTGTAATTAACTACAATTGTCTTTCTAATTTTAATTTGCTGTAATTCCCCCCTTTTTCCTGTAAAATTAATTAATTTTTACTTTCTTCTCCAGTTAGTATTTCATCAAATTGTAACTATATTAAAAAAATCTTGCAAGAATTAGGTCTTCGGATAAAATAAATTATAAAAATATCCCCCTTCCGCAAAAAAAGAAGACTGCTTGAATTCGAGAATATTGTCTGGAATATTCTTATCATCGTTCGTATTACTCGGCTTTGGGGTACGAAGGCGGGAGCTTCGCTTCAGAATCAAATTGTCGAGCTAGCAGAGTGTAAAACATCTTGCGACTATTGAGCAAATGGGACTTAGAAGCGAGGCTAGTATTTGTATGCTTTAATCCTCTAAGCCGTAGGAAGAGGGCGGACACTTGGGGATTCCAGTCTGTGACAACGGGCAAAGAGTATTGGAAGCGGGATCTAACTGTAGAATTTTGTCTACAGTCCGAAGCGTCGATACAAGGATGAGTTCGTAATGTGCAAAGTTCCTCCGGTTGTTCATCGTGCCTATAGACTGTAGCGCTGCAGGGGAAAAGAAGAGCTTTCAACCAAATTTGGTGAACGCTTTTTTCGACGCATTGATAAGGCACCACTAAGGCAACTACTTCACAATGTTCGCCGGACTGAAGGTATGGGCTTCTTCACTATAGAATAGTCAGTCATCACTCAAAAGCAGTCTGAAGGGGCTGTCGCCTCTTGTCGCTGAAATAAGAAATCGAGGGAGAACTGTAACCATTTTGATTGCCGCGATCTTGTTGAGGGTCTGCCGGAAGATGAAGCTCCACAAGTTCATCCCTCTGTTTTCAGATATATATATATATTATGTCATGCCTTTTCCTTTTTAGATAACTAAAGTGGAATTCTATTTTTTGTTCCCGCTTATGTATTTTCCTCTACGAGAAAAGAAAATAGCTCCAGCCCGAGATGATTGCTCAGGTATATTTATTCCTACTAATTAATAAGGGACCATTTTGCTTAAAACTGTTCCCTTCTCGGCTAAAACCTGCTTAGTAGTGGAAATTTATAAAGCATGTAACAACATGATACTTTGGTTAAATCGGCAGAAACAGCATTTCCGATGTTTCGTCGCTCAAATGATACCTTAGTATAAAAAAAGGTTATAAAATTGAAAAATTGTATTTTTGTAGAGCAAATATGTTTCATCTGAATTTAACATTATTATTTTATTTACCGGGTATTAACTGGACATTATAAGTTGCCAGTGGAGTTCATGATTTTATTTTTACAGAACCTGCGACATTTGCGCTGCATTAATTTAAATGCCTATTATAAATTGCGTTGAAAGATTCTTATAATCATAATATCATGAGGTGGTCACGTCATAAATAATTTAAAGTTGTATTACTTTCTTTTATTATAAATACCGTTGCACATCAGCAACTACCTATGAATCTTTTTAACGTAACGCGTGACCTGTAAACGACTTTACTAAACAAATAATATTTTTTTAACTCCAACAAGCCCGTTCATTTTGTGTATCGGAAATTCTAAAGTTATGCTCATTTTAAAATTATATTGCGATATTGCTCTTGAAATAAATTTTATGGTTTAAGTACTAAGGACATGATATTTAATAAATACAGAAAACACAAAAAAGTTAAACAAACGCTTTGGACGAAATATAAAGTCTGAAATCTTACATAATTTTTTTTCTTATTTATTTCTAATTTTATTTAGCAACGAAGATAGCAGTTTGTTAAAGAATAAATTAAAGATATGCTAATATGTAGACATTAAAATGAAAATCAGGTTTCGTGTAGAGTTATCTTACCTTAAATCCCCTTTCTGCAGGCGAATCTGCTCAAAGACTATCTTTACTCTGTTATTAGGCGTGGCAGTGAACCTATAGTGGCATGTTATATCTCTTGGATAATTGCTGGGATACTGAGGGGAATAAAACTTTCCTCGAGTTCTGTTCGTCTGTTCGGGAGATATTTCATAGTTACATTTCGTTCCTGGAAGTAGGTAGCCATCAGTCTGGAACACCTCTGAAAATAAAACAAAAGGAAGCATTAATATTGTTGCGTGTGTACGGGTTCATAATGTAATGACTGTAGACAGGACTGATAATATATTGATAAAATTTATTTTACTGAAAGACACACTTCACAGTTCTGGAATTTCCACAAAAGTACTAGTACAGCTCTTCGTAGTATTACATAATACAATCAATAGTTATATTTAATACTACTATGAACGTTAAACACAAGACAGTGCAAAGCGCATCTAAAAGGCTAAGCTTTCACTAACAACTGAAAGCAGATCTCTCTCCGGTCTTATATAGTTCCGCCGAGAAATCTCTAGCATCTTCCACTTCTCGAAATTACTGGAAGTCATATACGGTCAATATTACATATGAGGACTGGCTATGGTTACATTACACTTAGGGATCAATTACAGTACCAATTAAGAGTTATACAAGTATGGGGCCAAAGAGTTACACAAGAAAATCGCCAAGTCTGCCGACTTTTGGCGATTAATCGCCAAATTCCGGGACAAAATTTAGACCTCAAAACCATCGCCAGCTTGGCGATATCTCGCCACTTTAATGAAATATATCTTTACTCAGTGTTAAGCAGTTAATTGTGATTGAGGAGTATACTCGTCATGCCTATAATGAAATGGAAAGATAAGAGAGAGGTTTATTTAGTAAGTACTGTACATAACGACAATGTAACAGAAACACAGAAAAGAAAAATAATAACAAAGAAACCGGAGCTAGTGATTGATTATAATAAAAAAATGGGTGGAGTGGATATGAGCGATGAAATTATCATAGCGTACTCCACAGCAAGAAACGACTCAAAAAGTACTACAAAAATGTATTTCTCCATTGCTTAGACGTGTTTGAATGCCTTCATATTATATAAAAAAATAATCGAACATGACCGCGTATCAAACTTTTGCTCAAATTTGTTGAAGGCACTTTTGCGTCGTATCCAAGAGAAAGAAATAAATCGCCACTAACTCGGCCATTTAGAAATAATACAAGCCAATTAGTCGGGAATCATGTTCCGGATTATATAACCGGAACATCGAAAAAAAAAACAACCCTTTGCGAAGGTGTTCGCATTGCTACAAACGTAAGATCAGGAAGGAATCGCTTTACTGGTGTTTCAATTTGCAAAGTCCTATTGTGTATAGTACCCTGTTTCGGTGAATATTACTCCACAGTAGGAATTGAAATTCTTACTTTTATATGTATAATATTTAATTCAATTTATTGCGTTGTTAGTTTAATATGTATGTAATATATGCTTATGTTAACGAAATAAGTAATCATTAGTAATAACATTTTTAATTTTATAAAATAAACCCATATTTTTCATCCAGTATCCTACCAGCGCAACTTGTGATTGACGAATAGACTCGTCATGGCTCGATTCTGGCGACACAACACGGTGCACACTCTTAAACGAGGGCACCACGTTAAATGGTTAAATAGACGTGTCAATATATTCGTATTTTTCCGCAATAGCTTCGTCTCTTTCAAGCTTTGCATGTTACACTGTTCAAAAAATACAAGAATTTCCCATTTAATTTCACTAAAATTATTTACCTATGTGTAAAATTCGTAACAATACGTAAAAATCACTTCCTGAAGACATTCCGTTTCACTGTTGAAGCTAATTTCGTATATCATTATACTTATTCAATGACATTCTCAAGGTTATCTTGTAGAGACATTAGGTTGTTTCAAAGCGGGCGAAGTGAAAAATGAGCAATGCCCTCATCGGAACTCGAACCTCGGACTTCTCGAATACGCGCCGAGTGTGCTGACCACTACACTATGAAGGCATGCTAAGAAAGCGGAAGAAATACCTTATAGTCTTAGGCTTTTTTATGTTTCTAGGACACTGTAATTGTATTCAAAATTTCCCCTCTCTTATAGATCAGCAATTTATATTAGCCTTCCAGCACGCGCGCATGCGCAAAATTTACGAAAAATTCAATTATTAATGCACATTTTTCGCATATCGATGCTGAGACGTCTGAAGGTCATTTCTATTCCTCCTTTCTACCCTTCCCCACATCATGGAAAGAGCCACAACAGTAAGTCATTTGACTTTATTTTTTTCACTGGGCTTTTCTGCTACGTGGCAGATTTTTCGTAACAGTTACGACAGGCGCGTGGTCGTGTTTTAAAATTTGGAAAATATTTTTTCTCAAATATTTTGCAATTTTGGGTTATAAAATTAATCCTAAACAGAATTTTTCGTGGCGTCTGTACGAACGTATCTCGCATAACTCAAAAACGAGTAGCCTCAGAACGTTGAAATTTTGTATGTAGGACTGCTATAACATGTAGATGTGCACCTCGTATTTTGGTTGCCAATCGGCCGCACCAAACGTATATAAATATATATATATATATATATCCACTCTGTTACCCGGCTCAGTGATCTCAGTTTCTTTACTCTTATATGTTTATAAAATGTACATTTTTTGCCTTAAAAATGATTGAATTATGTTGTTTTTATCTTCCGGTTAAGGATTTTATGCCTTTAGTAAATCTGTGTGCAATATTTTTAGAATTATCAGCAATTTTAAAGTTGTTTAATTGCCGCTAAGCCTGTTTTTAATGGCGGCCATCGATGTTCACATTTGAAACAGGAGGCTAGTGGATTTGTTGCCAATCTAGTGAAGCTTAGCTTCGCAACAACAAAGATAACGCATTCATTTATTATTGCCAATTAAATCATGCTTAATTCTTTCTGGAATTTTTTCGAGGAAATAAGTGTTTGAGGTTTACTTCGTAATTTTTAATATAGATATTTTGAGTTTTTATGTATTTTTGCCTTCTCGTGAAGTGAGAACTGAATTAATTGAATGAGAAATACTCAGTCGTCTGTGAAAAACTGTTTCTTTTTTGTTTTGTTTGCTTAATTTCTTTTATACATCATTCTAGCTTTACTATAGTATTTGAATAGAACATGTGGCAACGATTAGATAATTCTATTCTTTAAATGATATAAATTTTGTGCATTATGAGTTATAATATGAACGAAATATATACGTTAACTGTTATATAATTATTGGATTTTATAACAGTTAACTTATATAATGATTTTATAACGGAAAATAAGTTAACTGTTATATAATTATTGGATTTTATAACAGTTAACTTATATAATGATTTTATAACGGAAAATAAGTTAACTGTTATATAATTATTAATACTGTTAAGTGAATCTAGCGCCAGAGTGTCGCTATGGTAAACAAATACTAGAATGAATTTTAAAGAATGCATTTATTCTATTGTGGTTTATGCGCTGTTGGTGAAGTAGATTTAATTCAATCCAATAAGTTTAAATGAAATGCAAGAAAAAATGCGTATAATTTAATGTTCCAATTTAATATTCCAATACAAGGAAGTCATGTGGTGTACACATCAGATTTTTTATTGTTTATACTTGTCTTCGATGAATATTAAAATAAGCTTCGATTTTTAAATATAATTATTAAATATTAAATTTAAAATTTTCTAATGAAATATATCATTGAATTCCCTTCTCACTAACATAAGAACTTAAAAATAATTTACTTATATCTGAATGTTATATCATTTGCATTTTGCAATAATAAGATTAATATTTTATTTCTTAACAAATTTATTATCAATATTCACTCAATTCTGTCGTTTTTCGTGCCCAAAACGGTAAAATAACGGATGTCGTAAAAATTATGACGCGCGAGTGCTCATGTGAAATTGCCAAGCGCGCGTGCTGGAAGATTAGAAAAAAAAAATAATAAAATCATAGTAGCATTTGCTGAAAGAAAAAATTCGCTTATATGCCGAATTGCACATTTAAAATTTATGTTTTTTAAGAGTCAACTGCATTTATGCTAGTTTATTACTTAAGCTCATAGAAAGTACCAGTATTATAATATTTTTAAATAGAAGATATAAGAAGTAAAGTAAAATTTTATTAATTCAGTGAGAACTGAAATTTCTTCTGAAACAGAATATTTTTCCTCCATAAAACGTATCAAACTGTTATTTTTCTGTAACCGCCCGGGAAAAGAATTAACAAAAGTTTGGCTTTTACTTATTCGAATGAATATATCCTACAGATGAATATATCCAATTCTCAAAGTAAATTTTTATACACTAATGCACAAAAGATTTTATAGCATTTACATATTACCGCCTCTTCGATAAAATGATAGATTTTGTGTGAAGATGAGCATCACATTTCCACTTCATGATTCCATGTGTGTAAATATGTGTGTAATAGAGTATATTTTTATTCTTTTAATTAACTCTTAATGCACGCTATAAAGCCTTTTATTGATCTAAATTTTCTTGTGAAGCAAAATTTTCTACATATTTTAACTATAAAATTTAATTCATTTTTAAAGGAGTATTTTCCACACCTTTTTCTGCGCATTTCCCTTACCTTTTGTATACTTTTATAGCGATTTAACACTTTTTTTTACATTTTGCTATATTTTTATTCCTTAATCTGCTATTAAAATGTTCATACCTTTAATTAAAAATCTCCTGCGGTTTGTTAATATATGTATCAAACATATAAAAAAACACGAAAATGGAAACCGTCTGGCATTCAATGCACAAAGAAAAATGGAACAGTTCTATATCTCCCGTTCTATTGGACCGATTGACAAAATTCAGCTTGCGTTTTTTATGTCTCGAAAGCGCGACTTAGAATATGTATTAGCTTGATATATAGCATTGTTCTAATACAGGTATTTTGACACAAAATCGGACCTTTTATGAAATGATATGCCGTTTTGTTTCCAGATTTCGATTCTACGACTCAAATTATACCAAACTGACAATTTGTAAAAATTGCACGAGTAGTTTTTAAAAAATTAGCTCTCAAAATACAAGCTCCTCAGTGTTAATTGAATTTGATATATACTTATTAATATCTCGTCTTTCTTTCCATTTTTCGAAATACAGGTTCATTCCAAATAAAATTCGCCTATTTTTTGTGATTTATTTCTAAAATTTGATAATTTT